GTCTGGTGGAAAAAACAGGAAGGAGCTTAGTTTAGAGACTATTTCTTAAGGAGGGGAAGGGTTTGTAATTTAGTGATAAAGAATGAAGACTGGTAAAGAGGATAGATTTAAGATAATCTTGTATGCATAAGTGCTAGATTAAGCATCCATTTAAGATACAGAGGAATAGACGATGACGTCTCTGATACCGCCTTTCACCCTCTGAAAGCCCGTGTTTTATTTTCAGTAGAATTTTATAGATGACTAAAGAGATAAAATAAAGGATGGTAATATTTTAAGAACATTTGCTTCCCCCAAAAAAGAAATTGATAGCTGTACAATAAATACAATCATAGCACCACACAATCAAACCCATCAGAATAAATAACTCAGAAATCTCGGCTTTGACCCCAGCTTTTGAAGCTGGTGCATCTTAGTGGAAGGTTCGAATTGGTTTTGTATTGTGCAGTGGCTGATTTCCCATTTTTAACTGAAGAGACTGGGCTATTAGTTTCCATGCGAAAACTTGTGACTGTCTCTTCTGATTGGTTTCAAATCCTCAACGTTGATACTGAACTACATTAGAAAGTTATGCCACACTCTGTACTATTTCTTTAGCGTGCATTGATGTAAAGGGGACTGGACTTAAGGGACATGAGAATAAATACTTTTATAGGATCATTGAGCTAAAAGTGACTGGGCTTATGAGATACGGGGAGACCTTTCTCGGATCATTAAGGTGCAGAGAAGGGGGGGGGGGCTTAAGGAATACGGAAATTATATTTTTTTTTGGATCACGCAGCGACCGAAGCACATTTAGTTCTTGTCAACTACCAGCCACGAGGTTCCCACATGATAGTGTTAGGTAAATATAGTTAATTGTTCATGTAACTAACCTTGTAAAATGTTATTTGAATCAGGATAGCGGCACTTGCCTATGTATCAAAATTTGCTAACTGAAAGACCACCACTCACCTGGTAACCTCTGGGGAGTCTCCCTGGAACTGTAGTCCTGGTCTGAAAATTCCTGCAGCCCCGTCACTAGTGGTTTCCTTTAGGAACTTGTCAGCGATGATAGTAACTGTAGAACCTGGTGGCAGCGCCTTCTGCAGCTGTGTGGCTGTGGTCAGTCCTACCACACCCGCCCCCACAACACAGACCCGTGCCATCACCTCTACTGCACTTCTGTACCAAGAAGAAAAAGAAGACTTTGGTCGCATCAACTTTACTCCGAGTTGAACAATCCTACTTCTTCATCCTCTTTCTCTCCGCTTTCTACATTTTCACCCTCCTCTGCCTCTCCAGTTAGTTTAATATCTTTATTAAGCACCCAATACCCATCATGTGGGCGGTAGTCAAAAGTTTACAGAGGTACATAATGGGTTCAGGGGCTGGGCCCCAAAGTTTTGATAGCTGAGCAAGCTACAAAGGTAATGTACTCCAGGTAGATCTGGTCACAATTATGACAAGTTACAAAGGTATTTACAGATTACAGAGATACATAATGAGTCCAGGGACTGGGCCCCAAAGTTTTGATAGCTGAACTAGGTATAAAGGTAATGAACTCACAAGTTACAAAGGTAATGAATCATGTAAGTAAATTTACTTACGTTGATACATGATTACAATCATGAACAAATTATGAAGTACTGAGCAATTCACATGTCCACACCCGGTCACAACTGTAATGAGTTATTGGTGCAAATATTAATTGTTGGATGACACAAAAACACACACACAAATAGGTAAGTACACACACGAGCACACGCATTCACACATGAGTACACAAATACACACACAAACACACACGAGCAGGAGGTTCCGTGGGACAGAAAACTGGCAGGAAAGCCAGTAAATGAAATGATGGAATATGTAACAACAAAATGCAAGGAGGCAGTGGAAAGGTTTATTCCCAAGGGCAACAGAAACAATGGGAAGACCAGAACGAGCCCCTTGTTTACCCGACGGTGTAAGGAGGCAAAAACAAAGTGCAATAGAGAATGAAAAAAGTACAGAAGGCAGAGAACACATGAAAATAGGGAGATTAGTCACAGAGCCAGGAACGAGTATGCACAGGTAAGGAGGGAGGCCCAGCGACAGTATGAAAATAACATAGCATCGAAAGTCAAGACTGACCCGAAACTGTTGTATAGCCACATCAGGAGGAAGACAACAGTCAAAGAGCAGGTGATCAGACTGAGGACAGAAGGTGGAGAACTCACATGAAATGATCAGGAGGTATGTGAGGAGCTAAACAGGAGATTTAAGGAAGTTTTTACAGTAGAGACAGGAAGGGCTCTGGGAAGACAGCACAGAAGGAAACATCAAGAGGGAATATACCAACAAGTGTTGGATGACATATGAACAACCGAGGAGGAGGTGCAGAAGCTGCTAAGTGACCTTGATACCTCAAAGGCGATAGGACCGGACATCTCCCCGTGGGTCCTTAGAGAAGGAGCAGAGATGCTGTGTGTGCCCCTAACCACAATCTTCAACACATCCCTTGAAACTGGGCAACTACCTGAGAAATGGAAGACAGCAAATGTAGTCCCCATATTTAAGAGAGGAAACAGAAACGAGGCACTAAACTACAGACCTGTGTCTCTGACATGTATAGTATGCAAAGTCATGGAGAAGATTATCAGGAGGAGAGTGGTGGAACACCTGGAACGGAACAAGATTATAAATGATAACCAGCATGGGTTCATGGAAGGCAAATCCTGTGTCACAAACCTTCTGGAGTTTTACGACAAGGTAACAGAAGTAAGACACGAGAGAGAGGGGTGGGTTGATTGCATTTTCCTGGACTGCAGGAAGGCCTTTGACACAGTTCCTCACAAGAGATTAGTGCAGAAGCTAGAGGGTCAGGCTCATATAACATGGAGGGCACTGCAATGGATCAGGGAATACCTGACAGGGAGGCAACAACGAGTCATGGTGCGTGAAGAGGTATCACAGTGGGCGCCTGTGACGAGCGGGGTTCCACAGGGGTCAGTTCTAGGACCAGTGCTATTTTTGATATATGTGAACGACATGATCGAAGAAATAGACTCTGAAGTGTCCCTATTCGCAGATGATGTGAAGCTGATGAGAAGAATTAAATCGGATGAGGATGAGGCAGGACTGCAAAGAGACCTGGACAGGCTGGACACGTGGTCCAGAAACTGGCTTCTCGAATTCAACCCTGCCAAATGCAAAGTCATGAAGATTGGGGAGGGGCAAAGAAGACCGCAGACAGAGTATAGGCTAGGTGGACAAAGACTACAGACCTCACTCAGGGAGAAAGATCTTGGGGTGACCATAACACCGAGCACGTCACCGGAGGCACACATCAACCAAATAACTGCTGCAGCATACGGGCGCCTGGCAAACCTGAGAACAGCGTTCCGATACCTTAATAAGGAATCGTTCAAGACACTGTACACTGTGTATGTTAGGCCCATACTGGAGTATGCAGCACCAGTCTGGAATCCACACCTGGTCAAGCACGTCAAGAAGTTAAAGAAAGTTCAAAGGTTTGCAACAAGGCTAGTTCCAGAGCTCAGGGGAATGTCGTACGAGGAAAGGTTGAGGGAAATCGGACTGACGACACTGAAGGACAGAAGGGTCAGGGGAGACATGATAACGACATACAAGATACTGCGGGGAATAGACAAGGTGGACAGACACAAGATGTTCCAGAGAGGGGGCACAGAAACAAGGGGTCACAATTGGAAGCTGAAGACTCAGACGAGTCACAGGGACGTTAGGAAGTATTTCTTCAGTCTAAGAGTAGTCAGGAAGTGGAATAGCCTAGCAAGTGTAGTAGAGGCAGGAACCATACATAGTTTTAGGAAGAGGTATGACAAAGCTCAGGAAGCAGAGAGAGAGAGAGAGGACCTAGTAGCGATCAGTGAAGCGGCGGGGCCAGGAGCTGAGTCTCGACCTCTGCAACCACAATTAGGTGAGTACGTGCTTCTCCATTTTCTTCTCCGCCCACATCCTATTTCTCCCCTCCCCCACCTCTGGTCTTTGCCTCCTCTTTTTTCCAGCCTCTTCTTTTTCCTCAACTTCTCTTACACTTCCTTCCACTCTTTTTCATCTTGTGAATGAGGTGTTGCTATGCTTAATTAAAGTGACTTAGCACTGTCTTAACTTTCAAGGTTAGCCTCTTCTGCCTAGATAGTGATAATCACAGCATCATTCTTACTGTTGCCAAGGGTACATTCACACACACACAATTATTATGACTAAACCTATTTTCGTCCTAAACGAATCCAGCAAGCAGGTAAACAATTGCATTTTAGAATCCAGCAGGCAAATTTTTTTTTAAGAATCCAGCAGGTAAACAATTGTTTTAGAATCCAGCAGGTAAACAATTGCATTTTAGAATCCAGCAGGTAAACAATTGCATTTTAGAATCCAGCAGGTAAACAATTGCATTTTAGAATCCAGCAGGTAAACATTTTTTAAGAATCCAGCAGGTAAACAATTGTTTTAGAATCAGACATTAGACACTTGTGGAATCCTGCATGATTTATTGAGGTTTAATTTTGGGTTGCTTGGAGCAGGGAGTGGACCTAGTAGCGGCCAGCGACGAAGCGGGGCCAGGAGCTGTGATTCGACCTCTGAAACCACGTATAGGTTAGTACCAGTGTTGTAGTTATACAAGTGATTTACCTATGGTCCACCAGTACTCTAGTTATCATAACAACATCAAATGGCGTTACTTTAAATATTAAAAAGGAGTGGATAGGTATGCCCGGGGAAGGGTTCGGTCAGATGACCAAAATCTCCAGTGGTGGGTTATCATATGATTAAGACCCGTTATCATACATCAGTGGTGTTATCATAAAGTTACAATTTATGCCTCATATATGGAAGAAATATCCCCGCTATATAAAAAGCTTGAGCCGATGTGGAAAATTGCATTTATCTGAACGTAACTAATTATGTAATGACAGTAAATTATAACAAAGATAATTATTATTTATCAATGTTACATAGACAAGTAGGAATTTTGGACACCTAGGTCGCAAAAAATGTCCCCCTTCGATACCTACCACTGTCATTGTGGAAAATACTGTATATATTTTCCAGAAATTCAGTATTTATATGTAAATAGATGGCCATACTGTATTTAATAATATTTATGTCACAGAAAATGGAAAGCATGCGTCTGTGCAGACGAGACTTGCCATCTTGGTTTTGAATTTTGTACAAACGTTGGTGCAATGGGAAGAATTTTTCGTGCTCTAGAGGTTAAAATTGTGTTGACACCTCTCAAATAGGAGGCGAAATTGGTGGATGTGCATTCCTGCATAACTTGAGATATCAGACGACTAGACAAGACAGCTCCAGGAACCTCAGATAAGCTCTCTAGATTTGTGTGTAATTCTGGCCAGCATTATTTTCATAGATTTAGTTAGAGTGAGGTTTTCTGAGTATGATACACATTAATCTCAAGTCAAATTGGTGAGTGATATTAAGATATATTTTCCTTCTGTTATGTAATCGTGTATATATATAACCATTTATTATTTTTAATATACAGTCCACAAATTTATATATTTACCAGTATTTCTGGTGTATGTATATTTCATTTAATTAATAGGTCCAGAGCAACTTGTGGTTATGACAGTGGTAGGTATCGAAGGGGGACATTTTTTGCGACCTTGGTGTCCCAAATTCCTACTTGTCTAATTGATAAATAATAATTATCTTTGTTATTTACTGGTATGTACATTATGAGTTACATCCAGATAAATGCAATTTTCCACATTTAATTTGCCCGTTGGTCCTTCTTGAACCGGAGGTAATTAGTGAAGTCATTAATTAGTTAATTACTTAATAATTATATGTGAAATGACAGAAGGAGGTGGATGTTAAGTTTACAAATTTACTTAATGTGTAGTGGATTATAATAATTACAATATTAATTTTGATAAGCTAAGCCCAAGTCTGGCTAAGTTTATATTAATTTGTATAATACTAATTTGATAAGACAATTCTGGCCAAGATTTATATCAGTGTATGTGTAATTGATAAGACAAGTGTGGATAAAGATTATATTGTGTATAATATTAATTTTGCTATGCCAAATTCTGGCAAGGATTTATATTTGTATAATATTAATTTGATAAGGCAATTTTGGCCAAGATTTATATCAGTGTATGTGTAATTGATAAGCCATGTGTAGCTAATTATTAATGTGTATATTAATTTTGTTATGCCAAATTCTGGCAAGGATTTATTAATTTGTATAATATTAATTTTGATGAGCCAAGTTTGTATTAATGTACATTTAAAACTCAAGTAGCTAGGATTTATTCAAAGGTAAGTTGTACTATTTACCTTTATAAAGTGCATAATTTAGTACATAATCAGTGTTATTAAGTTGAATTTAATACATTGCATCATGGCTGAAAATGAGGAAATTAATACAGAAGACAAACATATGGAATATAGAGCAAAGAAAGCCTCACTGCAAGCTAGAAAGGGTCATGAAACCAAGGCATATAATAAATGTTTGGAATTAATGAATCAAGAAACTGTGAATACTGATGATTTAAAAATGTATTTAGATGCTTTAGGTAATAGATATGATTCATACAAATTATATTACAACAAATATGAAGGAGATTTGTTAGTAAACTGTGTAGATGAGACTGAAGTAGATCTTATGATTAATCAGTATTATGAATTAGAAGAAACGATTCTTTCTTGTAAAAGTCAGGCTTGAATAAATTAAAATGTGTAAACCAGGCAGTTAATCAGTCTGCTCCAACAAAACTCCCAGAACTATGTTTACCTGTGTTTAATCCTGGAGAAAACTGGGAGGAATTTTGGTCAATTTTTAAAGCAGGTGTGCATGACAGGAGTGACCTAGCCTGTGTAACTAAATTATTTTACCTCAAAGGACAGGTAAGAGATGCTCACATACTCATACAAGCCTTTCCCAATGTAAATGACTCTTACAAGGAAGCAGTTGACTTGTTGAAGGTCACTTATGGTAATATAGAACAAAGTAGGTTGGATCTAGTGAATATCGTTGTTAATTTAAAATCTCCAGATCACACTTACAAAGGTTTACAGCAGTTTAGTTAAACTGGAGAGCACTCTCAAAACTTTAAGTAATAAATATAATCTGAAGGAATCAGACTGGTTATTGAGTGCCATGGTACAGAATAAATTAAGCTGTAAAACACTTGAATGGCTCTCAAAAATATCACAAGGGTTATTTTGGTCTGGAGGAAATAAGACTAGGTCTACAAGAATTAATTGTTCAGTTGCAGACCAGCCAACTAACTCATTTTAAAGATGCAACACATAATAGCTCTGAGGTATCTGTCAAGTTTCACAAAGGGAAAAATTATCCCAATGTTAATAATCAAAATTCATTTCCTAAAAAGAGTTGCATAGGTGCATATCAAGTAGCAAGAATCAGAAATAATGATTCTCCACAAGGTAAGAAGAATAAGTACCCTCCTAAGAGAAGCCCAGTTAATAAGAAACCAGTCAAAGAAAAGAGAGATTGTCTTT